GCCAAACAGAGGTCAGGGGAGGGCTTTGTACGCCTCACGGAAGGGGGAGTAGCAGTGGTCCAGTGTGCATGATTTTCGTGTGCTGCATGTGTTGGAAGTACTTTGGAGCGACTTCCCTAAAGTTTGCTTTGTTAAAATCCTCAACAACAATGGAGACAGCCTCGTACAGTTTCCCGAGTACCAGGTCTATATTAGCCTGTGGTGGGATGTACAGGGTGGTGACACTGATCCCTGAAATTTCTCTTTGCCGCCACAGCGGTCTGCACGAGATGATTAGATTTTCCAGGTCCAGAGAACAAAGACTCGAAGTGTACATTCCTCTGATCACACCAAACGTTGATCATAAAACATACACTTCCCCCTTTGCTCTTCCCAGAGAGGTCTTTCCAGGTTATTCCTTCCGCACGGTGCACAGAGAAGCTGTGTGATTAGTGTTAGTATAAAGCACCAGGCTTTTAGCTTAGCTTCTCTCGAAGCATTGTATCAGCGTGCTGTTCATTCCTGAGCCTTTTGTCTGTATCACTCTCCTGGTTTGTGACTTTGGTTTTGGTTTCTCATTATTGCCTTATCCCATTGGACTCTGTTTTTGACCTTGTCTGTGTCTCACCTGTATATATCTGTTTGCCTGAGTATGACCTTAGCTTGGTTTTGGATTCCACCTCGGTTTTGTGCACTTATTAACCTTTTTACACAACAGCCTACTCTGCAAGCGTTTGATCCATCCAGACCCCTCACACCCTGTCTCATGGGAGCCCTAGGCAACAAAACCAACAAAGCATAGTCCTGTCACAAAGTATTCCAGAATTATGGGTGCAACACCCTAATAAGCAAGCTTAATGTGGCTGAGTCAGGATAAATATATTGCCCTATCTGGTCTGCAGAGAAGTGGATCCTGGACTTCCTGACTGGGAGACCTCAGTCTGTCAGGATCGGCAAGACCACCTCCAGCACCTCCACACTGAACATCGGCATTCCCCAAGGCTGTGTGCCCCTGCTATTCCCTCTGTTGACTCATGACTGTGCTGCCAATTGGTGGGTCTCATCAGCAACAATGATGAGTCCACATACAAGGAGGAGGTGAAGTGACTTATAGACTGGTGCAGAGACAGCGATCTCTCTCTTAATGTTCATAAAACCAAGGAGATGATTGTTGACTTCCGGAGGAACCACTAATCAGTAAATTAAGGGGTTTCAATCAGTCCCATTGCTACAGGTGTATAAAATCAAGCACCTGGCAGTGTGCCTTTACAAACATTTGTGCTGCCAAGTGCTGAAGTGCACATTGCCCATCCTCTGTAGAATCACTCATTAAAGAGTTCCAAAATGGTCTCGCTGGTCTCGCACAAGACTTCACTGTCTGCAGACAATGTATTCCATTCTCCACATTCTACAGGGGATGCTGATGATTCTATGGTATTCTATGGTGAGTCTCATCAGCAACACTGTTGATAAAATGTAAGAGATGGGATGTGGTGTGGGTTTTTTTTTTTTTTTAACTTCATGAGGAAACGCAGAGATCACTGTCTACTACACATCAGGCAGACAACAACATGCCTGCACAGAAGATCCCACCAACTACTGGAGACCTGATGCTGACGCTGTGCCCAATCAGTGTGAGGAGATCATTCAGCAGGATCTACGCTCGAAAAGCTCCAGGTCCTGACGACATACCCGGTCGTGTGCTGAGGGACTTTGCTGGGGAGCTCACAGATGTCTTTACAGATGTCTTTACATCTTTAACGTCTCACTGAGTCAGGCTGTTGTCCCCACATGCCTGAAAGCCACCAACATCATCCTTGTCCCAAAGAAAGCATCATCCTCCTGTTTCAGTGACTAAAGTCCAGTTGCACTCACTCCCATCCTCATGAAGTGCTTCGAACGGCTGGTCATGCAACACATCAAGTCTGTCCTTCCCACCTCCCTGGACCCCTTCCAGTTTGCATATCAGCCTAATCGCTTGGTTGATGATGCCATCCCCACCGCCCTCCACTCCCTCACACATCTGGACAAAAAAGACTCTTATGTCAGAATGCTATTCATAGATTTCAGCTCCGCATTTAACACCATCATCCCCCAGCAGCTCATTCTCAAATTGGACAGGCTGGGGCTGAACACTTCACTGCACAACTGGCTGCTAGACTTCCTGACTGGGAGACCACAGGCAGTACGGGCCAGCAACAACACATCCCGCACCATCACACTGAACATGGGGGCCCCCAAGGATGTGCACTGAGCCCCCTCCTATTCACTCTAATGTCCCACGACTGCACACCGTCGCAAAGCTCCAACCTCTTCATCAAGTTCGCGGACGACACAACTGTGGTGGGTCTCATCAGCAACAATGATGAGACAAACTACAGGAGCGAGGTGAGTCATCCGGCCTTGTGGTGTAGACAAAACAATCTCCATCTGAACATTGAGAAGATGAAGGAGATCGTTGTGGACTTCAGGAGAACGTGCACCCGGCATGTTCCTCTGATCATCAACGGTGCTGCTGTGGAGAGGGTGAACAGCACCTCACAGAGGACCTCTCCTGGGCCAACAACAGAGCATCACTAGCCAGAAGGGCTCATCAGCGCCTCTACTAAGAGCCAGAGCCCCAGCCCCCATCATGTGCACCTTCTACAGGGTTACCATTGAGAGCATCCTGACCAGCTGCATCACCGTGTGGTATGTCGCCTGCACTGTGTCCTGCCGCAAGACACTCCAGTGCAAAGTGAGAGCAGCTGAGAAGATCACTGGCACCTCCCTCCCCTCCGTCCAAGATGTATACAGCTCCCATCTCACCCGGAAAGCCCTCTGCATGGGAGGTGATCCCACTCACCCACTACACAGCTTCTTCAGCCTGCCACCATCAGGGAGGAGACTGCGGAGTCTCCGGGCCAGGACCAGCAGACTAGGGGACAGCTTCATCCACCAGGCTGTCAGGATGCTCAACTCTCTCCCTACTTTATTACGTTACCTGAGAGTAACGCAATTTCAATACACTGTATGTCCTGTACATATTGTAGTATTGACAATAAAAGCTGACTTTATTTGACTTGACTTAACTCTCCACAGAGTTCTCCTCACATCAGCTGCTGTCAGACACAGTACCTGGTCGTTGGGTGGAGGGGTGGTCTTTCTTGCTGCCACATTGTTCTCTGCTTCCAAATGATGATGAACCTGATGCAAATTGTTACGTTTAAGTGTAAAATTAGACAGTTTGTTTTTAGCAGTTTTTGGACCAAGAACCAGAAATTTTATCCGAGTTAAGTAGAAGAAAGTTACTCAACATCCAGTCTTTTATGTCTTTTTATATAGTTTTCAATCTTGCTAAGTTTAAATGTACTGTATCATCTGGTTCACTTGATATATATATAACTGAGTGTGATCGGCATAGCAGTGAAAATTGATGCCGTGTTTACTGATAATGGTACCCAGTGGTAGCATATATATTGTGAATAATATAGGTCTTAAGACAGAGCTTTGTGGAACACCTTACTTTACTTTTGCGAGGACAGATGATTCACCATTTACATTATCGAACTGAGCGATCAGTGAGGTAGGATCTGAACCAGGAAATTGAGGTCCATAAAGATGTGGTTTGATGAATTTGGTGTGGAGGAACTCCAGTGGCCTGCACAGAGCCCTGACCTCAACCCCACTAAACACCTTTGGGATGAACTGGAACACTGGTTGCGAGACAGATCCTCTTGTCCAACATCAGTGTCTGAGCTCACAAATGCTCTTGTGACTGAATGGGCAAAAGCTTCCCAGAAGAGTGGAGGCTGTTATAGCTGCAAAGGGGAAAGGTGTAATGCCATATTAATGCCTATAGTTTTGGAATGGGACAATCAACAAGATCATATAAAATCAAGGTCCATAAAGACATGGATGAGCGAGTTTGGTGTGGAAGAACTTCACTGGTCTGCACAGAGTCCTGACCTCAACCCAACAGAAAACCTTTGGGATGAATTAGAGTGGAGACTGTAAACCAGGCCTTCTCGTCCAACATCAGTGTCTGACCTCACAAACACTCTTCTGGAAGAATGGTCAAAAAATTCCATAAACACACTCCTAACCCTTGTGGAAAGCCTTCCCAGAAGAGTTGAAGCTGTTATATCCGCAAAGGGTGGGCTGACATATTAAACCCTATGGATTAAGAATGGGATGTCACTCAAGTTGATGTGTGTGAAGGCAGACGAGCGAATACTTTTGGCAACATAGTGTATCACCCAACTTGTTTTACCTGTATTAGTCGGTCTGCTGTTCTGTTCTTGTGACCTTGGACTGTTTGATTCCATTTTGTGTATCAATTTATTGAACACTCTGTGATTTCATCCAGTCTCTTCTCATTTGTGACTGTCGTTGTGATATATCAACGATTTTTCAAGTCTCTGTGAATGAACCATATCACTGTCAGACGCGTCTCAAAAAGAAAGCGTTTGTAAAGTATGTATGTTCACATTACAGTAAAGCCAGTCATATGAAGATCTGCAGTCAGTAGGATGCCCATGAGTAAAAGAAAATCAGAGCTATTTGAGCTACACAGTGGTTTATTAAAATGCCTTTTATAGGTAAAGCATTTCTTGTGATTTTGCTGCAGTCATCAGAAAACTGACGCTTGGTTCACCACAGGTTTCAATAAGCAAGATTATTATGAATTTTACCACATATATCAGTGAAAGGTAATTATGACTTCAGTTTCAGCTCTTTGGCTGAATTAAAACTGGAATAAATGAAACAGAACCAGCCCTGCTGAGACAATCTACATTGATAATGACTAATATTTCTGAAAGGCTGTAATCTTTACAGTTAACATCTTGAAGCTTACTACAATTAGGGTTGGAATTACAGATTATTGTTATGGTAACCTAACATAATATTTCAAACATTCCATACATTATTATCAATCCCCACACCAGTCAATCTGTTACATGATGCATAATAGCCTAAGTGTCTTTTAATCTTTATCTATAAGGAAAGCCATGATGAGAGAGAAATTAACTGATCAACATCTAAACATTTCCTTTTTTCCATGAAAATTGTTTCTTGATTCTTTTGAAAATCTCTTGTAGTTTTAATCCATATATAATAGGATTGATTAAAGGAGGAATGACCGTATTTTCAACTGACATTATCATATTAATAATGTGAGGTACATTTCCTTCTAATCTGCTATTGATAATTTCAAAACATACAGTAACAGAAAAACTGATGAAAATGATAAGGTGTGGGAAGCAGGTCTGTAGAGCTTTTCTTCTGAAATCTTTTGAATTCTTTAAACAAACATTAAGTATTCTAACATATGAGTAGATTACGAAGATCACTGGTGGAAATACAGCAACACATAAAACAAACAGTCCATATGAATTGTTTACAGATGTGTCTCCACAACTTAATTTAACAATTGCATAGTTATTACAGTAAATTCTGTCTAATTTAATTTTACACAGCTGAAGCCGGTACGTTAAAATGACTAACGAACCAATTTCAAAGGAAGGCACAAACCAAGAGAAAAATAAAAGTTTTCTAACAGTGGACATTTTTACAAGAGTTGCATATTGTAACGGTTTACATATGGACACATATCTGTCATAGGCCATAGCTGATAACAGTGTGAACTCTGAAATACCATAAGTATAAATGCAAAATGCTTGCAACATACAGGCTTGGTAAGAAGTAACTTGTCTTTCAGACAGAAAATCATTCAGCAGTTTAGGATAAAGCACAGTTGTTCCAAAGAGAGAATTGAAAAGCAAGGCAGCAATAAATATGTACATCGGCTCATGAAGGAGTTTGTCTGAGTATATGATGAAAATTACAACAGTATTAAAGCAAATGATGAGTATGTAGACTGCAAGAACGATTACAAAATAAAAATATCTATAATGCTCCAAATCCACATGTCCTTCCATAAGTAAGTATGTAAAATTGGTAGAATAATCCATACGCTCCTTACAAGTAATCAATTGGTCCCTAAAAACATTACATTTGCCTGTATGTTGTGGTGCTCACAATAGCTGAGATTCTAAGTAGAAATCATGAGTGAAGATGACCCGTAGTTGTGCTAAGGTGATGACAATGGCTTTGTGTGCATTAATATAGTCTCAAATAGTTCCATATTACGTAGTGGTTCACTGACTGACTGATAGATCCTAGACCAGCCCCTCCTTCGTGTCTCTGGCAACAGTTAACAAAGTGTGTTTGTGCTCTGCAAATCTCCACTGAATTTAAATGAAGAAAACAGAAAAGGAAAAAGAAAAAAACAACTGTGTTGCTTTATATTTTACAGTGCTTATGTGATTAGCTTCAGTATATGAACAGAACATTTGTATATTCAAAATACATCCATTTATGACACATCAATCTTCTTCATCTTGATAGAAATTCATTTTTAATTGAAAGGAAATGTCTAGACACAGCAGATTTTCTTAAACAAAAACACTCAGTAGAGCCCCCTTTTTTTCTGGGAGCATAGATAGATAGATAGATAGATAGATATGATAGATAGAAAAATCAGAGCTGGTTGGCATATACATTGATTAGGATGTATTTGATAAGGGCTACAGCATACATACAGACACCTTCTTGGTGAGGTGATGTTACTGCTCTCATCAGTAAAATGACATCTGAGGCTTAAAAAAGCAGAGGTTTTGGTGATTTGCATGAAATTAATTCAGGGGTGTTACACCACATATCATATATAATTTTCACTTTACAGTGTACATCTTAACAAGAGTTGCATATTGTAATGGTTTACATATGGACACATATCTGTCATAGGCCATAGCTGATAACAGTGTGAACTCTCCAAGCTGGCCACCAATGTCAAAAGACGTTGATATCTGGTTGAATGTTGGTCGTGACATCGGATGACCAAAATTTAACATACAGACAACGTCTAATTCCAACGTCATATTGACATAGAATACTGACATGCAGTCGTGAGGTATGGTGACCAAAACCCAATATCTATTTGTCATAACCTTAATGTCAAACTGCTGTAACATTCTAACATCATTCAATGTTGATATTTTGTTGGTTTCAAATCATGCTGTCAGGTAAACAAAATCCAACATCTTCCCAACGTCACCTTCTAACATCATATTGACATCGAATACTGACATAGTTATGAGGTATGGTGACCAAAACCCAATGTCTATTTAACATCATAACCTTAACTTCAAACTTCAGATTTTTTGTTGGTTTTAAGTTGTGCTGTAAAGTAAGCAAAATCCAACGTCTTCTGAACGTCACATCCCAAAATCATATTGACGTAGAATACTCATTTGCAGTCGTGAGGTATGGTGACCAAAACCCAATGTCTATTTAACATCATGACCTTAATGTCAAATTGACGCTACATTCTAACATCATTTGACATTGATATTTTGTTGGTTTTAAGTTATGATGTATAGTAACCAAAATCTAACGTCTTCCAAACATCACATCCCAATGTCAGATTGACATAGAATAATGACATGTCATGAGGTATGGTGACCAAAACCCAACGTCTATTTAATGTCATCACCTTAATGTCAGATTGATGTAACATTCTAACATCATTAGATGTTGCTATTTTGTTGGTTTTAAGTTATGATGTTCACTAACCAAGATCCAACGTCTTCCAAACATCACATGCCAACATCATCTTGACGTAGAATACTGACATGTAGTCATGAGGTATGGTGACCAAAACCCAAAGTCTATTTAACGTCATAACCTTAACGTCAAATTGGCGTAACATTCTAAAATCATCAGACGTTGATATTTTGTTGGTTTTAAGCTGTGATGTAAGGTAACCCAATCCAACGTCTTCTGCACGTCACATCCCAACACCATATTGACATAGAATACTGACATGCAGTCGTAAGGTATGGTGACCAAAACCCAATGTCTATTTAATGTCATAACCTTAATGTCAAATTGCCGTAACATTCTAACATCATTCAATGTTGATATTTTGTTGGTTTAAAATCCTGCTGTCAGGTAAACAAAATCCAATGTCTTCCCAACGTCACATTCCAACATCATATTGACATTGAATACTGACATATAGTCGTGAGGTATGGCGACCAAAACCTGACGTCTATTTAATGTCATAACCTCGACTTCAAATTGATGTAACATTCTAACATCATTACATGTTGATATTTTGTTGGTTTTATGTTGTGATGTTAACTAACCAAAATCCAACGTCTTCTGAACGTCACATCCCAACGTCATATTGACATAGAATACTGACTTGCAGTCGGGAGGTATGATGACCAAAACCCAACATCTATTTAACATCATAACCTTAATGTCAGATTGATGTTACATTCTAATGTCATTTAGATGTTGCTATTTTGTTGGTTTTAAGTTGTGATGTTCACTAACCAAGATCCAATGTCTTCCAAACGTCACATTCCAACATCATATTGACATCGAATACTAACATATAGTCGTAAGGTATGGTGACCAACACCCAAAGTCTATTTAACGACATAACCTTAATGTCAAATTGACATAACATTTTAACATCATAGGACGTAGATATTTTGTTGGTTTTAAGTTGTGATGTAAAGTAACCAAAATCCAACGTCTTTGAAACGTCACATCCCAACATCATGTTGATGTAGAACACTGACATGTAGTCATGAGTATGGTGACTAAAACCCAACATCTATTTAAAGTCATAAATTAAAAAAAATTCAATGTGACATTCTAACATTAGACATTGATATTTTTTTTGGCTCAAAATTGTTGTGTCAGGTAACCAAACATCACATGTCAACATCATATTGACGTAGAATATTGACATGTAGCTGTAAGTATTGTGACTAAAACCCAACATCTATTTAACATCTTAACCGTAACGTCAATGCTACGTGTTATTCTAAGCTTTATTCTAATCTTTAGCAATTGATATTTTGTTGGTTCAAAGTTGTGGCGTCAGGTAACCAAAATCCAACATCTTACGAGCGTCACATGCCAACCTCATATTGACATAGAATACTGACATGCAGTCATGAGTATGGTGATTTCGACGTGACATTCTAACATCATTAGAGGTTGATATTTTGTTGGTTTAAAATTGTGGTGCCATGTAACCGAAATCCAACATCTTCCACACGTCTTATGCCAAGTTAAGTTGGTTTTAGGCCATGGTGTCAGAGTTTTAACCTTCACAAAACAAAATCCTAACATCAATAGACTATGACATGTTGTTGGCTCTAACTCAGACAGCAGACTGTTCTGGGCCGATACATCCGTGAGTGTTCGTTGACTTCCAGATAGATATTAGCCAGATGCTGGACAGCTGTGTATGGTTTTGAGTCATATTTACTTTTAAGGGCAAATTCTAGCATGAATGTTATGGTCGATCAATGTGGATGAAGGAAGAGGGCCACAGCACAATTAAGTTGCAGCAGATTTGTGCTCAGTTGATTTACACCTCAGTACTTCTGACATGTCATAAGTGGCTCAGCTAAATAGCAGGCAGTTCTGGGCTGATTCTGGCTTACATACCCAAGTGTGGGCCAGAATTGGGCCAGATGCTGGACAGCTGTGCATGGTCTTAACTCATATCTATGTTTAAGGGCCAATTCTGACATGAATGTTGTGGCCCAACAATGTAGATGAAAGAAGCGGGCCACACCTTTATGCTGCGGCAGATTGGTTGATTTACGCCTCAGTACTTTTGACCCTAGTCTGGCATGTCTGGCAAGTGCAACCAGAGTTCACCTTTTGAAGGTTAAGACCCTCATTTAATGAATTTTCCTGCACACGTTCACCATTTTCATATGGACAAGCTGGCAGCTAGGTTCGAAGAGAAGGCAAATGGAAGAGTAATAATTGAATAATTTCAAATTATAAGGTTCCAGTATGGAAAATGACAAGTTATAACTGACTTTCTAACAGTACCATTTTAGCATAACACTTGAAAAGCACAGGGTAGCTAGGTTAATGTAATGGCTATCAGCACAAGGTTTAGCTACATTACCCTTAATTGCTAATTCATCATGGCTAAAGTTAACTAGTCTGAGCATTTAAAAGGAATAGCCTGTGCTTTTTGAGTGTTATGCCATAATGGTACAGCGCTTTAGTTTGCGGTTAGGACATTAGCTCAAAGTTAGCATGTTAGCTCGAGCCTAGAGTGTTTGCTCTGGACTAGCGCGTTGTCTTGTGACAGCAGTAGCAGGTCCTCTCATCTCAGTCAGTAGAACTAGAAAATTGTTTAAAAATGGATGCTGTCATTGTTAAAATGAGGCAGTATTTCCTGGATCATATGAGAGTTCACTGCCAGGAGTGCTTTACATTAGTTCGACCTGTAAGTAGCTTAATTTTGATTATGGGTTCCTTAATGTTTCTTACAACAAAAAATTTCTTGTTACAGATCTTACAGTTGTGGAGTTCTTGCCTCATTATTCAGTTTTATGTTATCTGGAAATCAGTTAAAGAAGTATGTAATAGTTGAATGCTTTTCCTCTTTTCTTAGGCATCAGGAAGTGAACAGGTTTTGATTTATCCAGTTTTGTGTAACGAACACTGGCTGAAACTTTACCTCTAGGTTAGTGTTTCTAACGTATCAACAACCCAGAGTTAAGGGCCGTTTGGCTCCAGCAAGTCTGGAGTTGAGGTGTAAATCTGTCAGCTCTGACAACGCCTCCCTGGAATATTGGCCACATGGCCCTCCAAAGTCCTGTGGACAACTTTATCTTAAGTAACAGAAAGTACATTTCTAAGGTATATGTCCACTCCAAACTGCAACCATTCGTTAGAACTCTTTTTAACTAAACTAGACATACCAAAAACCAAACTCGTACGACTTCGGGCGGCAAAATTCCAACTTTCTGAATTCCCTAGGGATCTCAAGCATGGACCTACAGCACCCCAAGGGGTGAAACCGCAAATTACCACATCACCACCGTAAGGACTTGTGCTTATAAGGAACACGAGAAACTTC